GTGTCACAAGACCCTTCTCCAGCTCCATGGAAAAGACTGACAGGAAGTCCTGCCAGGATTCTATTTCATTTTATTTGTACCTCTTGATGTTTGTATACCCAGGGATACCAACTAGATCTTGTCCTACCTGCATGCACCTCTTTCACCTGGATTTGTATGACAGCGTGATAATGGAGCTCTCCCCAAATGTGTAGGAGTTAGTTCTTCTTAAAGAAAACCTTCTTTCCTTGACAAACATGGAGAAGGATTTGATTTTTAATATACTGTGGGTAGTGACACCTTCAACGTAAAAAAGACTAGGTAATTCATTGCAAAGGGAAGTTAAAATTGTCTTGTTCTGCTTGTAAAACAAAATTTAAACAATATCAGATAATAGAGAAACTGAACTAAAACTAGAACTAAAACCTGACTAAGAGGGTCCCTCAGATGTGGTCAAGTCTGAGGGATGGACTCCATGACCCAAATATCAAAGCTGTCAACTTGAAGTAATACGTCAGCCCTGGGGCTTTCATTCTCTGATGACATCTTCACAGAGCTAGAGTGTATGGGATTTTTGTATCAGAGTTACAGAATCAGGCAGCTTTCTCAGTGACCCCAACCACTGTACAGTTGATGATCTAGTTTGTATCTTCACATCTTCTCTCCTCCTTTCATCCTTCCCCATTTGCCTGTAGCTACTTTCTGTCTTCTTCACCATTATTAGGTGCCTGCCTCCCTGCCACTCTCCACTCCCCAGGACCCACCACCTAGAGATAGCATTCATTTAGCCCAACAGCTCCTTTGGTGCCCGAAGGGTTTCTTGCTGGTTGTGATCCCTGGGCTCTCAAAAGGGAACTTCAAAGCAATTGGGTTTGCACCTGGGTCAGTAATGCCCAGGCAGATCCTGGGATTCTTTGATTAAATCATGCCCATGGGCCAGAGGACCAGAAGACTGTTCAAAGAAATCTGGCGAATGTACACATAAATGAGCTTGATCCTATTAAAACATTTTTGGAAAGAAATGGAAAGGCAGATATGTTAAAATGTCTGGGTTTTATCTATCTATTCCCACGCCCACCCTCAGCCTCTGCAGGAGTCTTCCAAAGTATTCAGCATCTACAAAAGAATCAGCCAGGCTGTGAAGACATGGTTAATAGAAGACAAAATACCCCCTTTCACCTGTCTCCCAACCCCAAGTCAGGGCTTTCCCTGCCTGAGAAAGACTCTGCATGCATTCAAAGCCATGTGTTTTGCCCCAGGGCTCTCAATATTAGTCTGTTCTCTATGCGTTGGAGTCTTCAGTTCTTAACAGCATTATGCCACAGACTTATCCTGAGTCCCAGGTCCCCAAGGGAAGGCAATTTTAAATTTACCTTCCCTTTAGATCTAGAGATCAATAGCATGGGTATTGGCAGAGGTTAACACAGCAGGAAACTCTGTCCAGGTGGGCTGCTATCAAGGTGGTTCTGGAGGCTGCAGCCTCTTCTAATCCATGGGGTAAGTCATCAATATGTCAACAGGGAGTCCACTTCCAGTCTAAGTCTCTTTAGGTACCTTAGGAATTAAACTATTTCCTTCCCAGATCATTGTTTACCAACTAGGTCGATGAACCACTATTAAATTACAAAAGCTTTAAATGTGCAGATAGTTTCCATAGTTAATTAAGACAGTTCTTGGTGCCCAGAAATATATGCATTACCTTCCTTTGCCTAAAACCACCTCAGAGAGGTCGCCAGATCATGGAAGTTTGAACTTATCCTCTGCCATAGTTTACTCACTTATCTCCATGGAAATAAAAGGGCAAGGGGGAAAATGAGCTGATAGGTCTTTCTTACCTACAACTATTTGGTCAGGCTCCACCTACAGGCATTAATGATTAACCCATCAATGGCATACTCCCCAAGAGAATTAGGGAGCAGAAAGCTCTTAGCATTTCTGGGAAATGTTACAAAGGAGCACAATAATGCAAGTGACATTTTTGCAGTGTCTGGGCTCTGAAACTGCACTCAGCCTTGAAGGAATAGACATGCAGGGAACAGACACCTTTCTCCATGCTTTCCTGCTTTCACTTATAGCTGCAAAAGTTGATTTGCGGATTTCTGAGCTCTAAAACAACAGCTAAAAATAATAATACCAACATCAAGTGCAAAGAGAGAGAGCAGTTTTATTTCTCACCATAACTGAAGACAATTATTTTATTCTCAGCACATGGCACATTCATGTGGCAAGGATGGGAGGAATACAGCCATGAAGGAGGAAAATACTGCCCTTGTGGAGCTTCCATTCTAGTCGGGGGAGGTGTCTTCTGACCTTTCCCAGGTGGCCCACCTCCCACCATTCTCACCCACAAGTCTTTCTTCCCAAACTCCACATAGGTGGCTTCAAGCAGCTCCTCAGCTGACCATCCCCTAAGTCACTATGAGAATTCTCCCATCTCCACCCCAATCCCTTGGTCCCAACCTTTTCAGGCTCACACCTGCATACAGCAGTGTACCCCATAGGAGTGACAGATGGAGCAGGTCCTTGCCCCACCTGAGATCCAGGTAAGGAGAGGGTCCACCGCAGTTGGGGAGAGGAAAGGAGCTGGATAAGAAAAGGGAAAAGTGAGACATAGAGGTGAAGTGGGCTACCTTCCATGGCAGGGGCCAACACTCCTTGGCTGAAGGACACTTTGGCCCTGGAATCTCACAGTGGCCTCCCTTAGATTCTGCAGCAACCATAGGACCTCACCTCAACCCTCCCTGGGCTTATCTCACCCATGAAATAGGCATGCATCCTCCTGTCCTGCCCACCCCTGGTGGTGAAGGTGGATGACATAACATGAATACCTTTTATCCCTGGCCAAATCCATGCCTCTTCACCTGGCTAATTTCTCGTCCCAGTTCACTTTCCTCCCCAGTTCAGGGGACCACCAACTCTCAGAGCCAGAGCTGTGCACACCCCTCTGGGGCAGCCCCTCTCCCTAGAAGCCATTCCCTACCTCTCCTCAAGCACAGATGCCATAAATATCAGTCTAATCTCCAAAGGCGATCATTCCCCTCCCCCAACACAAAACAACAGAGCCCTGGATGGCTCTGTCATTCTGCCTGCTCCATTGTGAATGCCTTCAAAACTCCTAGAATAAAGATAACAGAGGACTGTGTACGTTTTCTACACAAATGGTGGAAAGTAATGTAATAAACATCAAAGGTGAGCTCCCACCTACTCGCGGCTCCGTTTCTATTTGCAACAAAGGCAGGAAAAAGGAGGAAACTTCAGCGTGGTAGGGCAGCGGGTTAGAAGTGCACCCTTCCCAGGGGAGGAAAGCCCTTTCCCTGGACTTTTGACACAGCGTAGGGATCAGGCCCCGAGCTTCGAGCTTCGGGGAATTGTCCCCTCTCTTTGGAGACCTAACATCGGTGTCACTGAAGCCACAGCAAAAGTTCTAAAGGCAAATTGGAAAGAAATGGTCGTAAACACGGCTTGCTCTTGGCCCCTGCCCCCGGGAACACTCTCCTAGTTGTTCCTGTTGACAGTCGAGACCCGGGAATAGCCGGGCTGAGTTCCGCGGCGTGTGAGGCTTCCGCAGGGGCACAAGTGTAGACAGAGCCTGTCACCTGGCGCCAGACACAGCCGCCCGGGAAAGAGGGAGACGCTGCTATCCTGTCCCAAGAACCATCAGCCAGGTAAAGAAAAAGGTAAAGTAAGACAAAAGAAAAGTGAAAGTCGGAGCCCATTTAGTGAGCAAAAGTCATCTAAAAGGCGCATACTGTTTCAAGCCCAGTATTTTATAAGACAAAGATAGTCTTTAAAGGAAATCATAGGAAGGGGCACAGCACATGGCTCCCCAAAGAGATCACTGCCAAGTATGTCCTATGCGGTTTCCGCTGTTCCGCACCTCGGTAGAGACCACGGAGGTTTGACTTCCTAAGAGACACCGCTCGTCTACTAGAGAAGTAAGTACACCGCGTAGTGCTTAGATCCAAGTATAGTCCCTGTTCCCCCGGGGCCCAGCCCTTTCAGGTGTCCCCTGGGGTACCATGGAGTCTTCCTCTGCTGGGCTCACTCGCCCAGATCTCCTCCCGAACTCCGGGGCTCAGAGATTCCGGGCCACTAGAAGCCGGCCGAGCACACCTGAGCAGAGAAGAAGGCGGGCGGGGCAGCCACGCGCGCGCGCACACACGCACACTCACAGACACGCGCACACGCCCAGCGGCGCGCGCGCTCCCCATTGGCGGGAGGAGGAGGGCGGGGCGGGCCCGACCCAAAACAAACAACCTGAGCCGAGCGACTTTGCCGCGGCGCGCGGCCTGCCCTCGGTCCGGTGCGCGCCCGCGGGGGAGCCGCCGCCACCTAGGCCACCTAGTTTCCCCAACCCCCAGCCGTCGCCGCCCAGGCCCCGCCCCCGCGGAGCACCCGCAGGGTTATATTGGGCCGGTCGAAGGTGGAGGCTACACGCAGCCGCGTCTGGCCAGCGCGAAGATGCTGCCCCGGAGGCCGGGGGCGGGAAGGCGGCTGCGGGCGCAGCGGCCTCGGGGAGTCGGCTCGGCAGGTGCTCAGGGCTGAAGGCGCCGGACCTTCCCCCAGCTGTGGCACATCATCCAGCACCATTTCCGTGCGAGGACGCCCGCACGGGACTCGGGACTGCCAGCGAAGAAGCCCTCCTGGGCTCTTTTAACGAATCGCAGATGCGAAGGCTTCTTCTCTCCAACAGGAAATCCTTCTAAGCCCGGCGCGCTCGGGCACCAGAGGGAGGGACCGCAACCCCCAGCACACATCCACCTCAAAGTCTGTATTCCTCGAACTGAAGGTGACACCCACCCAACTCTTCCCTCTCCGCCCCTCTCAATCCACCCAACACGCACAGGCCCTCTAAAGAAAATTCCAGAGGAAAAAGACTCTCCTACGTAAAAGTGACCGTCTTGGAAGAGGAGGGAGAGCTCCTGGGAGAAGAAGTAGAGGACTCCTGGCCCTGGGATCGCCAGCTTCCCAGGACTGAAGGAGAAGGGTACAGCGCCCGGCGGGGACTGGCTGCGCGGGAAATGAAGTTGGAGGTGTTCGCCCCCCGCGCGGCCCACGGAAACAAGCCGGGCAGCGACCTGGAGGGCGCGGGCGGCAGCGACGCGCCGTCTCCGCTGTCTGTAGCCGGAGACGACTCCCTGGGCTCGGACGGGGACTGCGCGGCCAACAGCCCTGCGGCGGGCAGCGGCGCCGTGGATGCGGCGGGCTGTGGAGAGCCGAGTGCGGGCAGCGGGCCGGGTGCCGAGGAGCAGGGCCGGGCGGTGGCGGGCGGCGCGGAGGCCGGCGCGGCGGGGC